CCTACTCAATGATGAAGACATTTTCCTGTGAGGAGTGATCTAAAGAATAAAAGCAGAAAATCTGGTCTCATGCCGTGAACAGCATTATTACAGTGAAACACAGTTCCTTCAGATGCCTAAAGTGATTTGATCAGTACCGCTTGCCAGAAGATCTCTTGTGTTAATTGTTTTCGTGAAATCAAAATATCCCCCTACTTCACAACAGCTTTAAGAACCAAAGATAAATACATATTCACCAATGAGGTTCTTGAGAGGCACTCACCAATAGTTACAAATGAATAGTTCATAATATGAAATTTCTGTGTATTATGCTTGTAAAATAGAAGGTAAAGTTACAAATGAAAACACTGACAATGTGTGCAATATGTATATACACAAATATCCATTTAAGATTGTCAAATGATCAGAAACCCATTAAAAAGCGAACCTACATGTACAGAATCGTTTTGTTTCTGGGGCGGTGGGGTAGCCTAATGGTTAAAGCGTTGGCTCGTCACGCCGAAGACTCGGGTTCGAATCCCCACATGGGCACAATGTGTGAAGCCCATTTCTGGTGTCCCCCGCCGTGATGTTGCTGGAATATTGCTAAAAGCGGCGTAAAACCAAACTCAGTCAGTCAGTCAGTCGTTTTGTTTCTAAGTGAAACCAACCATTTACAATTTTGTTTGTATCATGTGTTCAATATTAATACTCATGTGTGCCTGTTAGATTAAGTTTAAGTATATGTACAGAGAGAGGGATAAGATACAAGCAGTTTGAGTTGTTGAAAGGTTGATCTGATTTGGCTTAGCGAGCCAAGTTTTAATGTAAAAAAGAACATTAGTGGCAATTCCTACAAATAGATGCGCAAAATCTACACAATGACTGAAACTGTAAAAGGCAGTATTGAATGAAACTTTAATTACTGGATCTCCTTGTCAAAGAAATGTTTCACAATATTGATGTATGACGTATGCTTTAATTTGATTTTTGTGCCCCTTTGTGTGGTGGGTATTTTGCATCATTGTTCTTCAATGGAAGTTGGATGTATATAAAATTAACTTCAGATATATCATACATTAAAAAACTGATTAAGTGCAAAAGAAAGCGTAATTCATAATCGTGTTTTTCTTCATGTTTTCGTGTGTTTTTAACAGAAACGAAAATCTGATTATATATGCCTTTTGTTCTGTCTTGCAGTTTGACTTTGTGAATAGTTTTGATATGTACCAAAGATTAATGTGTATTCTTCCGGATTTCAAAACAGTCAATTTATGATCTATCTATCTATACCTATGTACACTAAAACTTGTAAAGCGGTGTTTTTTTTCATTTGGTACATGCCTTCAGCCACAGGCAAACTGTAGCACAAACAGAGTTGCGCAACAGACAGAAAAATGACCAGTCTTCCCTTATGCCAGCGAAGCGAGCAAAAGTTGGCAACCTACTTCCCTCGCTTCGGTTCGAAAAATATTATGAGAATGTCAAAACAAAATATTGCCACCATTAAAGGTAGATACCCATATTCTCATAGGGTTGTGCTCTCATATTTCCAACCTCATATTTAATAATTATTCACGTAAAATATATTTCATTCAACATTTTAAACGCCACTCGCCAATCGTTCTTCGACTCCATTACAACGCTAGGCAGTTCCTTCAGAAACATTAATTGATTTGTTGAGTTCTAAGGAATGGAATATGATGGTCATTCTGAGCACCACTTCTTAGATTATCTGTTGTGTTAATTGCTTTCGTTAAAACAAAATTTTCGCTTTTCCCTCTGCTTTACAACAATATCTATCAGGATTACCAAACATGAATAATAACTAATAATAGCTTATAATATGAAGTTTTTGTGTATTATGCTTGTAAAATATAATGTACAGTTACAAATGAAAACACTGACAATTTGTGTAATATGTATAAAAAAAGAATATCTATTTAACGTTGTCGAATGATCAGAAACCCATTAATGAAAACGAACCTACATGATGGATAGAAGCTTCTGGTTTGTAAGTGATAAACATACATTTACAATATTGTTTATATCATGTACTTAATGTTAATATTCATCATGTCCGTTAGATTGAGTCTAAGTACTTTTCATGTATAGACAGGGAGTAAGATACAAGCAAAGGAGAGGATAGGAGTTGTTGAAAGGTTAGAGTGATCTTGGCTTGATACCAGCCAGGTTTTAATGTAAAAAACACAATTCCTCTGAGAATAACAGAACCGGTTCCTTCCTTGTCATTTCCTAAACAACAATCACACACAAATATCTATCACAAAAAGGGGTACATACAGTATGAAGGAGGACACAAAAGGTGACATCTAAGTCAGTGCTTTATTACACACTCACTCAAGAGACATCCCACAATTCATTGCGGGTTTGGAGTTTTGTTTGCTTCGTCTCCATGCAAATTGAGTGTACGGTTTCAGTGTCACATATATGGACATAAATTTGGATCGTTCAACAGTGTCAACACTAGTACGAACAAATCCTGTAGATCTCATCAATACATATCAACTTTCAACCTTTCTTTTGGACATCTAAATTACTGTTATTGGTTTATTTCGGCATGGACGAAAATAGGACAATTTAATTCTTCTGAAAAAGATGCATTTCACCTAAATTTGAATGCATTTGAGGATTTATTTTCGTCATTTGCATAAAGCTGTGTTGTTAACCTTTTTTGTAAACTAATACCTTCTACCATATCTTTGATAGTTTTTAAGTAATTCATAAAGGTAGAACGGTAACGTTTCTTTTTGGTGTCTAGTGTATTTGAGCCCTCTCCTCTTCCAGCTGCCCCCTTTGTTGTTTACGGCAGCACGTAACAATGGCCCAGCTACGTGACGACGGCCTTGGGATGATCGAGTCTGGGCAGGACAATCCAATGATTGATATTGTCCGCAATAGGATGACATGAAATCACCGAGATTAGCCACCCAATCCATCGATTTGATCCATTTACTCCTACTATCCGCGAAGATCCGGTTTGGTCTTTAACATAACATGCTGGTCGTAAGAGGCGACTAACGGGATCGGGTGGTCATGTCATTGTATCCCAATTGCATAGGTCGATGATCATGATGTCAATCACTGGATTTGCGTATCTATAGACCGCCGTCATATAGCTGGAAAATTGCTGAGTGTGGCGTTAAACACGCAGAAAATAATAAATATAAAACATCGAAAATCCAGTTAGGTATATTTTACATGATATCCAATATGTGAATGAAGTAGCACTTAAAAAATGTGCGGGTTTATATGTATTGTTTTTGTTTTAGTCTTCTTTTTTTTTGTCAACACATTCAAGGATTACCACAACGCAGGTTCAGTGCTGGGTGGGTGAGTGAGTTAAAAAGTCCCGGCGGCATTATTTCAGCCATATAGCGACGAAACCTCGATTGCACATGTATATAAACAAGTCAATTTGAAGTACAAAGTTTAAAGGAGCTTCTTAAGAATACATATTTCTTCATTCCAATATTTTTACAAATAAAAAACGTCATGACACATTAATAAAAGCAGCCAATTTGTCACACACATTACATAGTTACAATTTATGATAGAGACCAATCTCACAATGAGATGCCCGCTCACGCGGTTAATCGATTCGATTGTTTATTCAGTAAAATCTTGGGCTATGTGCCCCTCGTCATCATTTTACGCTGTATACATGATAGAATATGGTTATCCATTGAAATATACATATTTTTTACATTTACAAAAGGAGTCTGGACAAGACATTTCGTTACCTACATGCATAACTTTATGTATTTACATAATAGTGCAATATTATCTTTACATGTGTTTCTTAATAATTCCAAAAATATCAACATACTTGGTTTCTTCCAAAAATAAGGTTTCATCAGCTGTTTTCGATGTACTGTATGTTTTGGGCAAATTAAAACGAAATGGTATTCATCTTTAATCACATTTACATTATTTTCTTTACAGTAGATACAATATCTTTTCTCCCGATCAATATCTTCATAACGCCCAGTTTCAATTTTTAATTTATGACACGAAATTCGTAACATACTTAAATACCTAACAGTGTTTGTATGTAAAGCATCTAAGTATAATTCATATCCAAATACACTTTTGATATTACTGTATAGCCATAATTTACTACTTGGAGTAATGTCATGATGCCATTTTTGAATAAAACAATCAATTAAGCGTTGCTTAAAATGACAACAAAACGTACTAGCGTCAACACATCCTGGGTCACACCAAACATACAATACGTTAACGGATTGCTTAACTCTGTCACAGTATGAAATATGACGTGTAACAAATAACATCAGGGAAAAATTAATTTGTCTGCACGTGCCAGATGGCAAAGACTGAGAGGATAAGGTAGCTTTGACATGATAAGCAGGATGCTGCCTGCGATATGGATTATGTCAGAGGTAACGGGAAAGCTGCTCCACAATGGTGGAGGACCATAAATCACCTGTCATAGTAGGAAGAAATGATTTTAACCAACTGATATAAATCATTCCAGAAAGATTTACAGATTGTGGTGAGTGTAAATTTGCAAATCAGGAGAATGAAACAATAAGTAGTTAGAAAGGAATTCCTGTTGAATATGAAGATTGGTCTGGAGATTTCTAGCTGATAATGTCAGAATTGTGAGACCATGATCTCTCGACAGGGTTGTGGAAGGGAACATATCCAACTACCATTAATTAAATTATGCGAAATAATCTGTGCCTTTTTCATATGCTGGGAAATATGGCGTAAATCAAATTGAATTTGGTTGTCCGTTTACGAATGTTCCCAAATGTAATAAATGCAGATGTTTAAAAATAAAATCTTCTAAAAGAAGTTGTAGAGTTTCAAAAGGTTTTAATGCAGACGAACTGAAAAATTCCGATAAAAGTAATAGATTAGGTGGGTATAATTTTGAACTTGTTGTCTTTTTCTGACAATTATGAATTCTCATGTCTATGTCGAAGTCATCCAGTTTTCACAGTGACAAAGAATTTTATATGACGAGGCTAACTTCATCCGGTCTCGTTGAGGCTGACGAGGGTGACGAGGCTGACTCGATCCGGTCCGATCCCGGGGTGGAGGGCGAGGCTGACTCGATCCAGTCCCGGGGAGGCTGGCGAGGCTGATCAAAGGGGGTTGAAGTAGCGTAAAATTATTGTCCTCCTGAGAGGGTACGTAAGTCCCGAAACATTCAAAGGAAATTTAAATGTACCAGCTGTTTTAAATGTAGTATTCTTGCCATTTTAATTTTGGCTAAATTTGGCTTCAATCGCCAGCGGCTGAAGGGATGATATAAATCCAGCTAGGGTCCATGCAGGTAGCAAAATTAATGTAAGTCCCCATGGTCCCTAATTTGGTGATCTACCTTCAGTTGTTGGCGATCTATAGCCATTTTTTATATTGTATTGTCCTTATAGTGCTATTAGTTTTAACTTTCCACACTAGTTTTAGTTGTTTTACTGTCCTTCGTAGACAGGTTTTTATCATATACATATATTCCATTTCAATGTGAAATATGTTCTCGTCACGATATGGCTGAGATATTGCCGATGTGACGTAAAATATTAACTCACTCACTCACTCACTGGCGAGGCTGACTTCATCCGATCCGGTCCCGAGGAGGCTGACTCGTTCCGGTCCCGGGGGGCTGACGAGGCTGACTGGATCCGGTCCCGTGTAGCTGACGAGGCTGACTCGATCCGGTCCCGTGGAGGATGATGGGGCTGACTCGTTCCGGTCCCGTGGAGGATGACGGGGCTGACTCGTTCCGGTCCCGTGGAGGATGACGGGGCTGACTCGTTCCGGTCCCGGGGGGCTGACGAGGCTGACTCGATCCGGGCCCGGGGAGCTGACGAGGCTGACTCGATCCGGTCCCGTGGAGGATGACGGGGCTGACTCGTTCCGGTCCCGGGGGACTGACGAGGCTGACTCGTTCCGGGCCCGGGGAGCTGACGAGGCTGACTCGATCCGGGCCCGGGGAGGCTGACTCGTCCAGTCCCGAGGAGGCTGACTCGATCCGGTCCCGTGGAGGATGACGGGGCTGACTCGATCCGGGCCCAGGGAGCTGACGAGGCTGACTCGATCCGGGCCCGGGGAGGCTGACTCGTCCAGTCCCGAGGAGGCTGACTCGATCTGGGCCCGGGGAGCTGACGAGGCTGACTCGATCCGGTCCCGTGGAGGATAACGAGGCTGACTCGATCCGGTCCCGGGTGGCTGACGAGGCTGACTCGATCCTGTCCCGGGGTAGATGACTAGGCTGACCCGATCCGGTCCCGTGGAGGATGACGGGGCTGACTCGATCCGGGCCCGGGGAGGCTGACTCGTCCAGTCCCGAGGAGGATGACGGGGCTGACTCGATCCGGGCCCGGGGAGCTGACGAGGCTGACTCGATCCGGGCCCGGGGAGGCTGACTCGTCCAGTCCCGAGGAGGCTGACTCGATCTGGGCCCGGGGAGCTGACGAGGCTGACTCGATCCGGTCCCGTGGAGGATAACGAGGCTGACTCGATCCGGTCCCGGGTGGCTGACGAGGCTGACTCGATCCTGTCCCGGGGTAGATGACTAGGCTGACCCGATCCGGTCCCGTGGAAGATGAGGGGCTTACTCTATTCGGGCCCGGAGTGGCTGACAGGGCTAACTCAACCCGATCCCAGGGAGCTGCTGAGGCTGACTCGATCCGGTCCCGGGGTAGATGACGGGGCTAAATCGATCCGATGATTTTGAAACCCGCTCCACATTACTGGTGTTGGCAGGATCTTTAAGTATTTGAGTCTGACCCGCCTAGCCATATTATCTATTCTGCTCACATTCATCGATCATTTTAAAGTCGTTTGATAGTTAAAAATTGAACTGTTGAAAAGTATTGTTTGCTATAAAGACGATAACGATCGTTTCGTCAATATTTCATTTTGTTCTGCCCACCAGCACAGTCTGACTCCTTCGTCCCTGTATATTACCATGGTCAATCAATATCCAATATACCACGCCTGCCATGTCGCGCACTTGTACAAGTATGGTAAATGCTACCAGTCCTCGACGGCTGCGTACAAATCAGTTAACGGCCACTGTAGCGCTGTCCAATGAGGGTAGGTGTTGTTATAGGTTTCTACATTGTAACAGTGCTATTTATGACATTTATAACATAGTGACCTGGACAATAATAGGTTTGCCATGCTTACAGATGATTGTATTCCGCCAGATCAACGATATGGACTAATTACCTTGTATGATTATCCATATATTTGATCTTTTTTGTTCTGGACACAAGTAGTTACAGGCGTAAAAAGTAAAGATGGAGTTTTGCTTCAACAACTGCCCGAAAAAGAAACATCTCTTTTAACGTGTTGTGTTACATATATTGAATGAGAAATACCACATGTAGGAATCAAGAACATTGTCAGGTGGTAAAAGTATTTCTAAAATTCTTCTGATATCGGTGTGTACTTTACTATGTAAATAACAGTGTCGTAATTTAATACCACATGTAGGAATCAAGAACATTGTCAGGTGGTAAAAGTATTTCTAAAATTCTTCTGATATCGGTGTGTACTTTACTATGTAAATAACAGTGTCGTAATTTAATACCACATGTAGGAATCAAGAACATTGTCAGGTGGTAAAAGTATTTCTAAAATTCTTCTGATATTGGTGTGTACTTTCCTATGTAAATAACAGTGTCAAATATTGACAACAGTCTCAATGTTCTGATATCGGTGTGTGCTTTACTATGTAAATAACAGTGTCGTCAATTAATACCACATGTAGGAATTAAGAACATTGTCAGGTGGTAAAAGTATTTCTAAAATTCTTCTGATATTGGTGTGTACTTTCCTATGTAAATAACAGTGTCAAATATTGACAATAGTCTCAATGTTCTGATATCGGTGTGTACTTTCCTATGTAAATAACAATGTCGTAAATTAATACCACTTGTAGGAATTGTCATTAACTGTCATTAAAATATTGACACAGATCACTATTTGTTTAAGGGAGGAGTGCAGAGAAAGGGAGACGGCACAGCACAGATTAATGAATCAATAGCTTTGTCGGCACTTGTGCATGTGCTTCTCTAACACCTGGCTGTCCCTTTCTCTGCACTCCTCCCTCGTAACAAATAGTGAACTGTGTCAAAATTTTAATGATAGTTTGTTAAACAACTTTTTTAATTTTAGTACATATATTCTGCAAATAAATCACAGAGTTGGTGTGATGTTTTGATTATGATCAGTGTTTCATTGAGTATTATATGTTTATTAGTTTTCGAGTTAGATTGCAATTCATCGGTCCGCTTTTGAGCCAAACGGACTATAGGTCGTGCAAAAGAATGATGTTCAGACCATTCGCTCTCCAGCCACGAGTCCAGATCCAAATCCCACTGAGCATCTGTCGGACATTTTAGGCCGCCGTGTTCGACAGACACACCCATCCGTCTAGACTCTCAATGAATTGACTGCTGGGTTACATTAGGAATGGAACAGGGTTTCTCGGATCAAATCCGGAAATTGATCAAAGGAATGAGGAGGCATCTTGAATCACTTGTTCGTTTGCATGGAGGTAACATAACACACTGAAGGAAAGTCAGTATTTGGACTTGAAATCATTATTCTTCAATTAAGTGAACAAGATGTGTGCATGGTACTGACCGTTAAGTCTGCAAGAAGAGTGAAATTCGTTCTGTTTTTGCATGAAATGACGTCATTTTTTTCAAATCTGTACATCTTCAAACAAACCTATTTATGTCATGATAATCTTGTCAATGTTACTCCTCAAACCGTCCTTTTTACTACATAATTCATATGGAATGGGAATCTTTGATACTATTTATGTACCAGTTCAGTAAAGTTGCTTAATTAATTTTTAAATGTATAGATAATACTGGCATGTTCATACAGCCTTCGTGCTGTATCCGCTAGAAGAATCTAGTATAGCTTCAGCCATTGATCTGTCAATATCAGACACATGTTATAACGCACATGTTGCTCTTCTTTACAGCCGGGTGTTTCGCAATGAGGAGACTCAGGAATCTGGTAAAATGGAGCATCGCTGCTGTATGTTTTTTCCTAATGTACCAGCGTGTACACTTACTTTGGAGGGAGGATGCACACCGAGACTTACAAAGAACTCAACATGATTCCACATTCACACTAAAAGGGAGAAATACAATATTTGATGATAAGGTCGAGTTTCTGCGAGACGCGTCGCACAACATGACATGGCGGCGTGACATCGATCTCATGATGTTGGTAAGTAATTGTGCCATCACTGATTTCCAGTGGGCCATTCAATATGATTTTCACACCTATTTTGCCCTCTATACCAAATGGAATCTTTTTTATATTCAGCTCGATGTTGATGAGAAAATAGGTTACTTTCATGATTTGTAGTGGGTGATGTTTTTTAATTATCTTCCCTTCACTAACAAGGTGAGCTGATCCGGTCGGTCTAATCTTAAACTGACAGTGCATGTCGTATGCGCAATGCGAAGTGTAGGTGTTACTATTACACTTGTAGACAGTAAACCAGTATAGCCTTATTTTCTATCGGTAACGTTCATGGTGGCGTATAGACGGTATAGCTGTTCCCTTGAACGATAATATACCTAGCGTGTTGTCCTGACAGTGTTGTTGCTGACATCACAATGGTGAATCACCTGATAGACTTTCAAAGCGGTGGGACCAGTTCATCGGTAATTACAGATGGTGTTTTGTCGTTGACGGTTGACGTTGACGGTTTACATATAACTGACTTGCAGTGCCCATAATGATCAGATGTTTATAACAGTCATGACTTAGCTCAAGTTTAATTTTTTACACCCAGCGTTTTGGTTTCAGAACGTAATTTAAGAAACCAGAAAGGGCTACTTTCACTTCCACAAGTTTCGCTCAAAGACATTCACTGCTAATATGGATCCATTTCTGATCGAATGTTGTTCATACCAGCAGTTGCATCTGAACACAACCCTAATTTAGTCTTGGGCAGAGCTTGAAACAGGTGATAGGTAGTTTTACATTATTCTCGTAAATCACATCCGTCTTCCTGTCATGCGCAGATAAGAAACACTGACAGGTCAGGACAAACTTGATTTTAGTATTGATTTTCATTGGTCGATACCGTATGACATGCGTGTTGAATGTTTTAATCATGTGCGTTTTGAAATAGCTGATATGATCTCAATTTTTAAATATATACCTTTGTCAATATAGCAATTTCTGTAAGTGGCTTGATATGTGATGTGTCAATATACAGCTGGATCTGTGCTGACTTGCCAATACGTACCTTTGTCACTGTTGTACGCATCAGTACACGATCAGTGACGTATTTATACGTCTATTGGTGCGTGTTGGTAGTTCAACATGTCTCCATATTATCTGTAGCCTCAACGTAAGACTCTCCCTGAGTTTACAAGCCCTTGTCGGTGGGTGCAACATGTCTCCATATTATCCGTAGTCTCAACGTAAGACTCTCCCTGAGTTTACAAGCCCTTGTCGGTGGGTGCAACATGTCTCCATATTATCCGTAGTCTCAACGTAAGACTCTCCCTGAGTTTACAAGCCCTTGTCGGTGGGTGCAACATGTCACCATATTATCAGTAGTCTCAACGTAAGACTCTCCCTGAGTTTACAAGCCCTTGTCGGTGGGTGCAACATGTCTCCATATTATCCGTAGTCTCAACGTAAGACTCTCCCTGAGTTCACAAGCCCTTGTCGGTGGGTGCAACATTCCTCTATATTATCCGTCGCCTCAACGTAAGACTCTCCCTGAGTTCACAAGCCCTTGTCGGTGGGTGCAACATTCCTCTATATTATCCGTCGCCTCAACGTAAGACTCTCCCTGAGTTTACAAGCCCTTGTGGGTGGGTGCAACATGTCTCCATATTATCCGTAGTCTCAACGTAAGACTCTCCCTGAGTTTACAAGCCCTTGTCGGTGGGTGCAACATGTCTTCATATTATCCGTAGCCTCAACGTAAGACTCTCCCTGAGTTTACAAGCCCTTATGGGTGGGTGCACTATTCCTCTATATTATCCGTAGTCTCAAAGTAAGACTCTCCCTGAGTTTACAAGCCTTTGTCGGTGGGTGCAGTAGGTATTTCTGTTATCTTTAGCCTCAGCGTAAGACTCTCTGTCTCTATATTATCTTTAGCCTCAGCGTAAGACTCTCTGTCTCTATATTATCTTTAGCCTTAGCGTAATACTCTCTGTCTGTATACTATCTTTAGCCTCAGCGTAAGACTCTCCCTGAGTTCACAAGCCCGTGTTGGTGGGTGCTGTAGGTTTCTATATTATCTTTAGCCTCAGCGTAAGACTCTCTGTCTCTATATTATCTTTAGCCTCAGCGTAAGACTCTGTGTCTCTATATTATCTTTAGCCTTAGCGTAATACTCTCTGTCTGTATACTATCTTTAGCCTCAGCGTAAGACTCTCCCTGAGTTCACAAGCCCGTGTTGGTGGGTGCTGTAGGTCTCTATATTATCTTTAGCCTCAACGTAAGACTCTCCCTGAGTTCACAAGCCCGTGTTGGTGGGTGCTGTAGGTTTCTATATTATCTTTAGCCTCAACGTAAGACTCTCTGTCTCTATATTATCTTTAGCCTCAACGTAAGACTCTCCCTGAGTTCACAAGCCCGTGTTGGTGGGTGCAAGAACTACCACAAGACAACTGTCCGAGGAGCATGAAATACAGCAGAGAAGTGCTAGCCTGGTTCGCCAACAACCGGAAGTTGACGGGGGAAGCAAAAGTGCTACGTTGTCTGCCATACTTCTTCATCATCGGCCAGTGCAAGTGTGGAACATCTGATCTGTTCGCTAGAATCAACCGTCACCCTGATGTAGCTCCTCATGCCCTGAAGGAGACGCAGTGGATACGTCGGCTACAGTTAGGTGTGTGTAACTGGATGTATTTACTCTGCATACTGAAAGGAATCTTTGATGTTTGTTTGTTTGTTTGTTCGTTCGTCTGTTTGCACTCAACAATTTCACAGCAATTTCGATTTAAA